AAGGAATCAATAGCAGAATAACTGAGGCAGAAGAACGGATAAGTGTATTTTTCATTTCAGTTATTGTATTGTTCATCTCTGTTTGTTTGTTCTTTAATTCTTCTAGGTGTTTGTTCTCTAATTCTTCTAGGTCTCTGTTAAACTTTTCTTGCATCTTCTCGATCTTTGCCTCCATTCTTTTTCCGAGGTCCTGGATCATCTTTACTATCATTATTCTGAATTCTTTTTCTGGAAGGTTGCCTATCTCCACTTCATTTAGTTGTTTTTCTGGGGTTTTATCTTGTTCCTTCATCTGGTACATAGTCCTCTGCCTTTTCATTTTGTTTATCTTACTGTGAATGTGGTTTTGTTCCACAGGCTGCAGGATTGTAGTTCTTCTTGCTTCTGCTGTCTTCCCTCTGGTGGATGAGGCTACCTAAGAGGCTTGTGCAAGCTTCCTGATGGGAGGGACTGGTGGTGGGTAGAGCTGGGTGTTGTTCTGGTGGGCAGAGCTCCGCAAAACTTTAATCTGCTTGTCTGCTGATGGGTGGGGCGGAGTTCCCTCCCTGTTGGTTGTTTGGCCTGATGCAACCCAACACTGGAGCCTACAGGCTCTTTGGTGGGGCTAATGGCAGACTCTGGGAGGGCTCATGCCAAGGAGTACATCCCAGAACTTCTGCTGTCAGTGTCCTTGTCCCAGCGGTGTGCCACAGCCATCCCCTGCCTCTGCAGGAGACCCTCCAACACTAGCAGGTAGGTCTTGTTCAGTCTCCTGTGGGGTCACTGCTCCTTCCCCCTGGGTCCTAATGTGCACACTACTTTGTGTGTGCCCTTCAAGAGTGGAGTCTCTGTTTCCCCCAGTCCCGTCGAAGTCCTGCAGTCAAATCCTGCTAGCCTTCAAAGCCTGATTCTCTAGGAATTCCTCCTCCCATTGCCGGCCCCCCAGGTTGGGAAGCCTGATGTGGGGCTCAGAACCTTCACTCCAGTGGGTGGACTTCTGTGGTACAATTGTTCTCCAGTTTGTGAGTCACCCACCCAGCTGTTATGGGATTTGATTTTATTGTGATTGCACCCCTCCTACCGTCTCATTGCAGCTTCTCCTTTGTCTTTGATGTGGGGCACCTTTTTTGGTGAGTTCCAGTGTCTTCTTGTCAATGATTGTTCAGCAGTTAGTTGTGATTCCAATGCTCTTGCAGGAGGGAGTGAGTGCACATCCTTCTACTCTGCCATCTTGAACCAATCTCCCAGGTGCCATTCTGAAATCCTCCCTCTAGCTCTTTCAGACCTTTTTTTTTCCAACTTTTGTCTTCAGGCTTATCTTCGTACACTATTACCTTTTTAATTAACCACACCAGTTCGAGGGTGAAAGAAGGGAGGAGTAGTGAAAATTAACTATTGTTGCTGTGATGGAGACCAAGACTGAAATCAATGTCTACAATGAGGGGTGTTTGTTTTATTTATTACAGGAATTTTAGTTATCCATGCAATCCCTGGGCTGTTCCTAATGAGCATAATGCCCATGTGCTCCCAATTCATCACATTTTTCTTTATCCTAGTGAAATCTGATTTAAATGGCTATTAAGAACCAACATATTAAGGAAAAGGGTCACTTAAAGAGTGAGCCATATCTGTAAGTGGGTGGAGAGGGTCCGGCAGCTTTGCATTGGCATGGCAGGTTAAGGAGGAGAAGAAGGTTGTGCCCTGGATATATAGTCACCTCAGGTGTATGGAAACCATTAATTTCTGGAGTTCTCTCTCATTGTTTTTCCCATCCCTCCCCCATTCACTGCAGGATGGTCCATTAATTATACTTGTGAAAGTATTACCTATAAAGAACCCCAAATTCAAATTTTACTTTCAAGTTGGATATTTTAAAAAACTGAACAGGATGCAGATTGTAATAAACACCCTTTAGATACCTTCTTTCCAGTCCAGGCCCATCCCTCACCTCCCACCCTCATTTATTTGAAGTCTGTTTTCCAAACTACCCCCAATGGCCCCTGCCCGTCAGGTTTCCTCCCCCTCACAGCCACACTTGTACTTCCCAAAGCTGGAGATCTGGTTCAAGCTTAAGCCAGTTGGATTTCTCCCTTAAGAATTTGAACTGAGGGACAAAGAGCCTGGGAGTTGAGAACTGAGTCATCATAGCCAAGTGCTACAGGAAGGGTCCACAAATTCCTACCACTGATACCCCAGAGCTGGCCTGATTCTCATCCTGCTCAAGGTTAGTCAACTGTTTCTTAGCTTCTGTATACCACCACGATATATTTTCAGTAAGCTTCCCTTTTGCTTAAACTAGTTCAAGTAGGATTTTGTTACTTTCAACCAAAGAAGTCTTAATTTAACTAAATACGAAATCAATTTCAAAAGAAAAATTCAAATATTTCTGGCATGAAGAAAACACTAGTACGGCCTAAATGAAATCAGATATTCAAAGCTCAGTAGAAACTCCACGAGGATCGCTGTCTTTCTAGAAAACAAGGAAAATGTCCCCTCGTTATGAATAAACAGATGACATAAATCTCCATGACTAGACAACAAGGTACAATACAATCAAATTCGTAGTAAAGCAAGTACTGTTCTTCATCACAGAGTTTTCCTGATTCCAAAAATCTAACAGGTTTTAACAAGTTGACAAAAAAGTTATTATCCCTATAATTCATATAATAGCCACAAACTGGTGGTCCGTGAGTCACACCCAATCCACAGATATATTTTGTTTGGCTTGCACTGTATTTTTAAAATTCTGAACTTGTTACCAAGTTTTAAAATTTTGGAATTTTCACCAAAAATTCAGATTTACGGATCCTCTTTTTAAAAAAACTGACCTCTACATTATTAAATCTAATAGTCAATTTTCAGTCTTCATCTTATTTGATCTCTCAGCCTCATTTGACATAGTTGATCACTTTCTCCTTGAAATATTTTCTTCACTTGGCTCTGGGACACCATTCTTTTTTATTTTCCTATGTGATAGATAACTCAATTCTTTTTTTCCCAGTTTTATTGAGATATAATTGACGTACAGCACTATATAAGTTTAAGGTGTACAGCATAATGACTTGACATACACATATTGCAAAATGATTACCACAATAAGTTTAATTAACATACATCACCTCATATAGTTACAAAAAAGTTTTTTCCTTGTGATAAGCACTTTAAGAATCTACTCTCTTAGCAGCTTTCAAACATATATAAATATATAACTATAGTCATCATGTTGTATACCCAGTATTTATCTTATAACTTGGAAGTTTGTACCCTTTGACCCACTTCCTCAATTCACCCAGCTTCCTCTCCCCACCTCTGGTAAACATCAATCTGATCACTTTTTCTATCCTCAATTCTTTTTGCTAATTCTTCCTCATCTCCCCACCTCTAAATGTTGGATAGCTCAAGACTCGATCCTTGAATGTCTGTAATAATTCCTCAAATTATCAAGTTTCAAGACCTTAAATATCAGCTCTATGCTGACAACTCTGAAATGTCTTTCCCCAGTTTGGCCTCCCACCTGCCTTCCAGTCATTTATCTACCTGCCTACTTAGCAGTTCCACTTGGATGTTTAATAGCTTGCTCAAATTTAACCTCTTCAGAAGCAAATTCTTGTCCCTCCCCATATAAATCTTCTCTTCCCCATCCAAGTAAATGGTTACTCTATTTTCAGACTATTTTCTAATTTCAGACTAAAATCCTAGAAGTCATTCCTTCTCTCTAACACTCACTCCATCAACATCTATATGCTCTCTCTTCAAAACCTATCAAGGGGGTTTCCCTGGTGGTGCAGTGGTTGAGATTCCGCCTGCCGATGCAGGGGACATGGGTTCGTGCCCCAGTCTGGGAAGATCCCACGTGCCGCGGAGCGGCTGGGCCTGTGAGCCATGGCCGCTGGGCCTGTGTGTCTGGAGCCTGTGCTCCGCAACAGGTGAGGCCACAACAGTGAGAGGCCCGCATACCAAAGAGAAAAAAACCTATCAAGAGTCTGACCATTTCTCACCACTTTCACTCATCCAAGCCACTGTCATCTCTTGCCTACATTATTGTAATCACCTCCTAACTGGATTCCCTGGCTTGCTCTTGACCCCTTACAGCCTGTTCTCAACACATCAACAAATGATCGTTTCTAAGTATAAGTTAGATCATGTCTCTTCAAAACCTTTCAATCTGTTTCCATTTAATTCAGAGTAAAAGTCAAAGTCCTTACAATGACCTACAAAGTTCTACAAACTCAGGCTCTCCACAACTGCTTAGGCTTCATCTCCTCCCTCCATCATTGGTTCGGCCACAGGGTCCTTTGTGATGTTCCTTGAACACAACACACCTCAGGGCATCATTGCACTTGCCTTCTCCTGGGTATCTATATGGCATGCCCCCACACTTATTTCAGATCTCTTTCCAAAGGAAACTTATTAGCGCAGTCTTCCCTAACCACCCATATAAAATAGCTGCCTAACTATATTCCCTTTTTTCACCTTTTCTCCATATAGCATTTGTCACCATCTGACAGACTATACATTTACTCGTGGGTGTGTTTATTGTCAATCTCTATCCATATAATACAAAGTCCATGAAAGCAGGGACTTATTTATTTTGTTCACTGCCATAACCCCAAACCTAGAACAGTCTCTGGCACAGAGGCTAAGATGGAATTGGTAATAATCAGGTAACATAGATAACTCATCCTAAGCAGATAAGCAATTATAAAAAATATTTTTGCCCTTTAGGCTCAAAATGAAATCTACTCTTCTGGGTTTTGCTAGGCCTCCGTTTTGACTTACCCTTCACTGGACATTAAAGGATTCTTGCTTTGGATAAGTTTTCTTGTTAATCTTGCATTAGGGAGTGGAAAAAATGAAAAACAATTATCATTGAACCTGAGTTAGAATAGAAGGCAGAATCTTTACCTTGAAGAACTCAATGAGAACATCTTTATTTTCTAGCCAGATGATATTATGAAGATATTTGTCAGGAGTAGGGGGTGGAATTGCCATTGGAAAGTTATTCAGTGATTTTATTTTTGCAAGAAGCACCTAAAAGAAACAATCAAAATAATAGTGATCAGATCCTGTAACAGAAAAGGGACATTAGGTAAAAATGAAGGAAATCTAAATAAAATACTGTTATGCAAATCTAACCATGATTTTGACTCAGAGCTTCTCTCACCCTATTTAAATTGTCCTCTAACTTTTTTTTTGTCCCTATTCTCCCCCTTATTACTATCTTTATTACTATTCCCACTGGTATATTAAATCATATTGAATTTATCATTTTTATAATCCAATTAACAGTTGTAGTCTACCCTATCTTAAACTCAAATTATCTAAAATTCACAGTTGATTACCATATGATTTAATGCCACTTTCTCTAAATTTTTTTTCATGTGAATAATTTGCTTCTCTAAGTTCTTCTAATTTTGGAGGATATATTTCTAGTTTTGTAGCCTCTTAGAAGCCTTCTCTGACTCCCCCCACCAGTAAGAGATAATCACTTATCTGCCTTATTCCCATGGTATCTCTTACAAATCTCCCTTATGGAACTCATTACATTGTAGTATTATTATTTTTACTTATCTGTTACATGTAACTTTTGTTGATTGGCTGAATAAGTGACTAAATGAAAAAGAGAGGAAGAGTCCATGGACTTTTCAAGACCCCATGGCATGTAGTAGGTGTTCAACAAATATTTACTCAGCTAAACCGGCTAGATTTACCTAGCTCTTTATGACCTGGGATTGATAATTATATCTCTTTAGCTGACAATTAGGCAGTTAGTAGGCATTCAATAAATAACTGTTGAAAGATTGATTTACCCATTACCTTTCTAAATAAACCTATAGGAAAAAATAAGACTCTCTCTTCATAAGGGCTATTATTTATTTATTTTAACTAATGGGCATCAAGCATTCAATTGAATCTTATACAATATCCAAAGTAAGAAGGGAACAATATACAAAAATACAAAACACAATGTGCACAGAGGTGTAACTTGAAGAATACTGTAAAGCGGTCTTTTTCGCCCCTTTGACAGACACTAAGGAGAAATCATATTACCCATTTAGTCCTGTGCCATGACCTTATAGAGACTAATGAGGTAGAGCTATGACAGGGAAAGCTGGCCGGTCTCACGCCCACTTCCCTTCTGGGGCCATGGAGAGGGACTATGTGCAGGAAATATCCGGAAGCACAGTCCATGTGGCCTGTGGCTGAAAGGGACCAGTGACAAGGAAAAGCATTGACACCCAGGAGCAGCTTATTCTTGGGAATACACAGGCAGAATGTGGGACCAGAACTTCCATTTTTCTACTCTATGCTAGGAGGCCAATAGACCCTTGTACAGAATAGAAAAAAACTTTCCTATTTTCACAATTTGCAGTCTAGATGGTAGAAGTGATAGAGTGGTAGGATTAAACATTAAACATTTTTTCCTCTGTCTTATATTCCTAATTTTTTTTGCAAATTTATAATTTTTCAAAAGTCCATTTATCAGCTAACCACTTAGGGTGTCTTCCCTGTTCCTCTCAGAACTGTTCCCTCCCTGATCTTCACCAACACACACACACACACGATGGTCCCCTCCTGTCTATGTTAACATTAGGAAATTACCACCTCCCTTGCCACAGCTGGTGGGCCTGAGCACTACATATTCCACCAATGGACAGACAGGCAGAAAAATCTAATGACTTTGTAGAGGGAGCCAAAAGAAGATTCCACAGAGGGGCAATCCTGATAAGAAATGGAGAATCTGAAAGCTTTCTAGGTCATTGTTCAAGTCCCTTCCTGAGGCCTGGCCATGTGGTCTGGCTACCATGGGATCTGTAAAGTGCTCTGTGTCCTTATAATAAATCCTCCAACTCCATTTCTTTGCTAAACCTAGCTCAGATTGGTTCTGTTACTTGCAACCAAGTGGTTTTGACATGGAGTGAACCAGGTAGTGCTGGCACTAGTTTCCATTGGCATTAACAAAGACTTAGGCAATTATAAAGTTTACAACTGTCATGACTCACCCTTTTCCCAATCTCCCTCACTAATTACACTCTGCTAGAGTAGCACTGCAGGCTTGAGTGCTCGGCTTATGGAGTCCAGCAATATGGAAAATTGCTTTCTTACCTTATTACCTTTTACCTATTACCTTTTACCTTTTTACCTTTTACCTTTTACCTATTACCTTTTACCTATTACCTTTTACCTTATTACCTTTCTTACCTTATTCATCTCAATGCCCTCATGTTTATCAATAATGCCTCTTGACCAAAGGAAGGTGAGGCTTTTCAGAGCTTTAGCAATCACATTCCGGATTGCCTGCTTAGTCTTCAAAGCAATGACAACATCACGACCTTCATGCTCTATGAGTCCTGAAGCAAATAAAATTATCAGTAGGCAAACAATTCAATAACCACAATAATAACAAATATTTGCATAAGTTTATAATTTCCAAAGTATTTACACAACATCCTTTCATTCCTGTCTCATATAGAACTTGTGAGACCAGTAGGACTAAAGTTATTTTCATCTTTATTTTACAGATGAGAGAATTGAAAAAAGGCTTCCTTCACCAGCTAAGAGAAAATCACTCCATCTTATTCCCATGGCATCTCCTACATATCTACATTATGAACTCATTACATTGTAATATTATTATTTTTCCTTATTTGTCTCATCCTCCATATTATATAATTTTTGGTGGGTGGATGAACAAATGACTGAATAAAAGTGCCCCTGGACTTTCGCTGGTGGGTCTTTCTGAGATCAAATCTCATATTCTTCCTCTTTAACAAGCATGAGAAGTCAAGGGATTGACTGGGAGTCAAGGCTTAAACTGCATCTGTTTCATCCTTGTAATCCTAACCTTGAGCACAACACCTGACATCTGGAAGGTACTCAATCATTTTTCAACTGAAATGAGCTGAGCAGTGAAATGAAGGACAGCATGGTGGAGAACATAGGTTTTAGTGTCTGATACACCTGGGCTTGAGATCTAGCTCACCACTTACCAGCCATAGGACCTCAGGGGAGTTAACCTTTCTAAGGCTCAGTTTCATTATCTATAAAATGAAGATAATAGTATTTGCCTCATGGAGCAATTATATGGATTAAATGAAATAATGCATATAAAGCCCTTAACACAATTCCTGATATAATTAGCATTCAGTAATAGGTTGCAGTAACCACACAGGAACAGGCACTCCCTTTCACATGACTGAATCAAGAAAACTTCGTAATATTCCATAGTGATCTAAAACATAAGACAGCGACTCCTAGGCCCCTAATCTTTAAAAGCACGGAAATAAAAATCTGCTTAATACATAAATGGAAAAAAATGGGTCCTGGATTTTCTGAGACACTGCCAAAATATTCTGACCTATTGTCTCCAAACTTACAATTTCGTTCATTAGACCATGTTCTTTCAGTTTTGATGTGGAAAGTATGATCCTCATAAATCCATATGGCGTCTTACAATGTGGTTATGAATACAAAGTGGTTTTGCTTTATTTCTTTTATATTAACGTCCATTTGTTAGGACGTTACCATATGCCAGGCTCTCTACTAGATACTTTTGCACACACTGAGAGCTTGGCCCACAGCCCCCATATGAGAAAAACACACCCGAGAAGTTTTGTATAAAATCCTAGGACTCCCCTGTAGGTTTCAACTCCAGCAGAGTGACTGTAGCTGCTCAAGAAATGATACCCCTTGCAGCTCCACATTCCTTTGCAAAGTAAAGCAAAACAAAAACAACACCCTCTGTCAAAGGTAATCTTCATGTGTCTTTTTCTTACAACCTTAAGGCAGGGGTCCCCAACCCCCGGGCCATGGAACAGTACCAATCCGTGGCCTGTTAGGAACCAGGCCACACAGCAGGAGGTGAGCGGCGGGCGAGCGATCAAAGCTTCATCTACATTTACAGCCATTCCCCATCACTTGCATTACCGCCTGAGCTCCACCTCCTGTCAGATCAGTAGCGGCATTAGATTCTCATACAAGTGCGAACCCTACTGTGAACAACACATGCAACGGATCTAGGTTGCGTGCTCCTTATGAGAATCCAATGCCTGATGATCTGAGGTAGAGCTGAGGCAGTGATGCTAGTGCTGGGGAGCGGCTGCAAATATAGATTATCATTAGCCGAGAGGTTTGACTGCACAGAGACCATAATAAATCAATTGCTTGCAGACTCAAAACCCTATCAGTGAGTGGCAAGTGACAATTAAGCTGCATCTGGTGGCAGGCTTTAAGTCAGAATCCGACAGTTATTTTAGGCCGTGCATGGCCCGCCCGTTATTTTATTTTATTTCTTTTGCCCATTATTTTATTCTCCACCTCCATCCGCACCTCTTTCCCGCACTCCACACTTGTCTCAATCACAGTTTTGGTAAGCCCACAAGCTAACCCTAGCCAAAATGAGTAAAAAACAAGCATCACTGGAGGGCTTCTTTGAAAAGGGGTAAAGACCCGATGATGATACAGCAGAAGACTCTAAGACTGCCAACAAAAAGAAAGCTGCATTGAAAAGAAAATACTGGGGGTGGGGGTGGGGGTGGGCGGGCAGAGTCAAGATGGCAGCATGGGAGGACACAGAGTTCATGTCGCCCCACAACTAGGGTGCCTGCTGGACACTGGTGGGGGAACTCGATGCCCAAGGAGGCGGGAGGAACCCCTGAGTGACTGGATAGGACGTGGGGGGAGTGAGGGGGAAGGAGAAGTGGAGGCCAGACAGGACCAGCACTGCTGAGGGGTGGCTGGGAGAGGGGAAGGGTTCCCATGCCTGCAGGGACCCTCAGGGATGCAGAGGATCAGAGGGAACCAGACCTAGTGTTTTCCCTGCCCAATCGGCCCACAAGAAGCCTGCTGGGCTTCCAGGCTGAGTCCCTCACCCTCTAAGGCCCCCTCTGAAAGACGTTGGTCCTGGGCGGGGGTGGCGGAACCAAAAGGAGAAGCGGACAGGGAGGATCAGGGGAAGTACCATGGGCGTTTTCCCCATGCAATTGGGCCCCGGGAAGCCTGCTCCTGGGCCTGATCCTCCACCTCCAAGGCTCCCTCCAGCTGCGGGGGTCCTAGGGGCATGGGGTGGGGGCCAGAAGAAGAGAGGCCAATGGGAAGGGACCCTCTGGGATCAGAGTTGGGGGGAACATGCCTAGCATTTCCCCCACCCACTGGTGCCCAGGGAGCCTGCTGTGGTCCTGGATCTGGTCCCCTGCCCTCTGAGGCCAGAGGCACTCCTGGGCCCCTCCTGCCACATTGAGCCTAACCCTCACCTCCCACCCCTCAGGGCCTTTTCAGGCCCTGTGGGACCTAAGCATAGGCCCCGCCAACTGCCTAAACCCTGCTCCTGCCTAAGCCCCACCCACAACAGCCAAGGCCTTGTCCCTTTTTCTCCTCTTTTTCGCTATTGTGATTCTGTTTCACCTTCCAGTTGTATTCAGTATTTTTATTTTTTTATTTAAAAAATATTTTTATTTTTTTATATTTATATTTTTTCTAACATATCTGTTAGTTTTCTATATATATTTTTATTTATAAAAATATATAGAGAAATTTATATTTTATATTTTTATATTTTTATTTTTTCTAACACATATATATTTTTTTCTAACATATCTGTATTTTATCTATATTTTTATTTTTTTCTAACATATCTGTTAGTTTTCTAATCTTATTTTCTGTTTTACTCTTTGATATTGTTCTGCTCCCTTTTTTTTTTTTTCTTTTCCTGCTCTGCAAGGCTTGCAGGATCTTGATTCACGAGCCAGGGGTCAGGCCTGAGCTCCTGCAGTGAGAACTCTGAGTCCAAACAATGGGACTAACAGAGAACCTCAGATCCCAGGGAATATTTATCAGAGTGAGGTCTCCCAGAGGTTCTCATCTTGGCAACAAGACCCAGCTCTACCTAACAGCCTACAAACTCCAGTGCTGGAAGCCTCAGGCCAAACAACCAGTAAGACAGGAACAAAATCCCACCCATCAGAAAAAAAAACAATGAGATGACAAAAATATATGTCACAGATGAAGCACCAAGGTAAAAACCAACAAGACCAAATAAATGAAGAGGAAAGAGGCAATCTACCTGAAAAAGAATTCAGAGTAATGATAGTAAAGATAATCCAAAATCTTGGAAATAGAATGGAGGCACAGATCGAGAAAATAAGAGAACTGTTTAACAAAGATCTAGCAGAACTAAAGAACAAACAGAGATGAACAACATAATAATTGAAATGAAAAATACACTAGAGGGAATCAAGAGCAGAAAAAATGAGGCAGAAGAATGAATAAGTGAGCTGGAAGACAGAATGGTGGAAATAACTGCTGAGGAGCAGAATAAAGAAAAAGCAATGAAAAGAATTGAAGACAATCTCAGAGACCTCTGGGACAACACTAAATGCACCAACATTCAAATTATAGGGGTCCCAGAAGGAGAAAAGAAAAAGAAAGAGTCTGAGAAAATATTTGAAGAGATTATAGGTGAAAACTTCCCAAACATGGGAAAGGAAATAGTCACCCAAGTCCACGAAGTGCAGAGAGTCCCATACAGGATAAACCCTAAGAAAAACACACCAAGACACATATTAATCAAACTAACAAAAATTAAACTCAAAGAAAAAATATTAAGAGCAGCAAGAGAAAAACCAAAAATAATATATAAAAGAATCCCCATAAGGTTATCAGCTGATTTTTCAGCAGACACTCTGCAGGCCAGAAGGGAGTGGCAGGATATACTAAAAGTGATGAAAGAGAAAAACATACAACCAAGATTACTCTACCCAGCAAGGATCTCATTCAGATTCAATGGAGAAATCAAAAGCTTTACAGACAAGCAAAAGCTAAGAGAATTCAGCACCACCAAACCAGCTTTACAACAACTGCTAAAGAAAATTCTCTAGGTGGGAAACACAAGAGAAGAAAATGACCCACAAAAAAACCCCATAACAATTAGGAAAATGGTGATAGGAACATACATATCGATAATAAACTTGAATGTAAATGGATTAACTGCTCCAACCAAAAGACACAGGCTCATTAAATGGATACAAAAACATGACCCATATATATGCTGTCTATAAGAAACCCACTTCAGACCTAGGGACACATACAGACTCAAAGTGAAGGCATGGAAAAAGATATTCCATGAAAATGGAAATCAAAAGAAAGCTGGAGTAGCAATACTCATATCAGATAAAATAGACTTTAAAATAAAGACTGTTACAAGAGATAAGGAAGGACATTACATAATGATCAAGGGATCAATCCAAGACGAAGATATAACAATTATAAATATTTATGCACCCAACATAGGAGCACCTCAATACATAAGGCAAATCCTAACAGCCATAAAAGGGGAAATCGACGGTAACACAAT